CATGTCTTGATGTCATTAGTGTTTCTTATTTCACTAAAATAACAATGAAAATTTGGAATAGGGGAATTAATATAAAACTTTAACTACTGAATCGAATCCAAAAATAAGATATGGTAGGTATGTTAATTGGTTTCCACATTCATTGGATTGCTTCTTCATTATTACAATACAAAAAGATGTGTGAATGGTACAATTTTCTATTGTGATACTAATTACAATCAAATACAAAACACAGAGACAGACGATATATTGCAAAAACTTGGTGATTCCAAACCTCAATAGCACCACTGCTCTAAAAATATACTAGTAATTGTTTGTAAATGTTTGAATTCTGGGACTACCAAATTTTCAATGAGCTCATATTGATGAAATTGAAAATACTAACTAATGATGACTTGTTTCTAGGATAGGTTATTCATTATAATGAATTTATTATTAGCTACGGGGTAAAATATATTATTTGGAAAGAGTGATTATTATTCCTCATGATATGAGATGGGAATTTATATGTATAAAAGCATAATGATCAAACAGAAGCTATGTTTCCAATTATGCATTAGAGAGATTTATATGAGTAAACCCTAGATAAGCACGATCGAGAGCATGTGAAGGAATAATTTGCTCTAGGGTTCTTTTATTTAAAGGAAATGATGAACCAAGGACTATATAGGTCAATACATTCTCTTTTTTTCATCATTAATCAGCACCATCATATAGATTTTGATTCGTCAAAAGACGTACACGTTTATCTTCTCAGCAATTCAAAATAAATAATTACAAAAAATCAAATTATATGTTAGGACATTTTGTACCATATGCCACGTTACAAAATAAAATTTGTATATGCTAATTAAAGATGGGATTCAACAACATAATAACAGAATACCGGTAGATAAAACCGGTGGTTATCCAAGTGATTTCCATTATAAATACTACTTGCATATGAGTCTTAAGTATATTGGCTATTAAATTATTAATCGTAAGATTTGAAGGTCTAGGAAAAAAAACCTACAACGCAGCCTTGCTAGTGTTGTAATCTAACACCACAATCTTTTTTTATCTATAAGTTTATAATTCCAAGTGAATAATAATTTGTTCTCTAATATTGTTTGTTTTCTATAATTTTTTATATAGAAGTATTTTCTTATTGAATATTATGTAAAAATTAAGTGACGTTTCCAAAATTTTTTTATAAAGTTATCAAAATATTTAAAAACTAACGAAGTTATCGACCAATGGAATATCGAGAGTCGTGAACAGAAAGAGAGATTTAAGCAAATCAAAGATTGACAGGTGTTAATAATATAGATCATCCACGTAGATCAATTCAAACCACAGATTTAAACAGTGTATTGACTTCCCTCCATTTTTCGATTTACCGCTTCAGCATCCCCTGCGTAAGTTATCCTCCTCCGGTGCGATATCTTCGCCTAAACGGCGCACGTTAGCGAAATCGGAAAAATCCTCATTCCCCGTCTCCTCCTTCGTATGGCGTCGACAATCTCGGTTCACCCGGGTCGGATCCGGGTCCTCAAGGAAGGCTCATGGCGACCGTCCGATCAAACGGTAGGTCCCGTTGTTTACTGGATGTTCAGAGATCAACGGTTGAGAGATAACTGGGCGTTGATCCACGCCGTTGATCTGGCAAACAGGACCAACGCTCCGGTGGCCGTCGTTTTCAATTTGTTCGATCAGTTTCTGGGCGCAAAAGCGAGGCAATTAGGGTTTATGTTAAAGGGCTTGCGTCAGCTTCACCGGCAAATCGAATCTCTTCAAATTCCGTTTTTCCTCTTACAGGTGAGTCCATTGCTCGATTTGACATGGAACCCATATAAAAAGAACTTGCTTTGTGGTAGTAATTTCAGAGGAATCAAAGAGGAAAAATTTAGGGGTTCTATGGAAATGAAATGGGATTAGGGTTTTCCTTGTTAGGGACGAATTTTGGAAAATGCTGATTAAAATTTCTACTTTGAATAACCTTAGAATTTGGTAGCTTTATCGAAATTTAGCTGTAAATTTCTGTTCTTTTCTTATCTCAAAGGCTGGTTGATTAGTATTGAGGGAATGATGAACTTTATGATGTAACTATTCAGGGAGATGCGAAGGATACAGTCCCTAATTTCGTCGCTGAATGTGGAGCTTCACATCTGGTCACTGATTTCTCGCCTTTACGGGAAATTCGAAGCTGTAAAGATGAGGTTGTCAAGAGAACTAGTGATTCATTAGCAGTACATGAAGTTGATGCACACAATGTAGTTCCAATGTGGGTTGCGTCGGCTAAATTGGAGTACAGTGCTAGAACAATACGGGGTAAGATCAACAAACTACTACCTGAGTACCTCATTGAGTTTCCTAAACTTGAACCGCCGAAGAAGAAGTGGGACAGGGTGATGGATAAACTGGTTGATTGGGATAGCCTCATCGATCAAGTTGTAAGGTTAGGTGCTGTTAAATGTGTTTAATAATGGTGTATTACTGCTCAATTCCTTATTCTTCTTTAGGATTTGAGTTTCACCTTTTTTGCAATTTTTGATATGTGGACAGGGAGGGTGCAGAAGTTCCTGAAATTGAATGGTGTGTGCCGGGAGAAGAAGCGGGCATGGAAGTATTGATGGGGATTAAAGATGGGTTTTTGACGAAAAGGTTGAAGAATTATTCAACAGACCGGAATAATCCTGTAAAGCCAAAAGCACTCTCTGGTCTCTCTCCTTATCTACATTTCGGGCAGATATCAGCTCAACGGTGTGCCTTAGAGGCGCGTAAAGTCCGGAGTACTTACCCTCAGGTTCATAAGTTTATCATATTATTGCACATAGATATTTGGGTAGTTTTTCCTGTTTATTCCCTCCTGTCTTAATTTGGTATGTGCGTTGTTTGTTTGTTGAAGGCAGTTGACACGTTCTTGGAAGAGTTGATTGTGAGGAGAGAACTCTCCGACAATTTTTGCTACTATCAACCTCACTATGATTCTTTGATGGGAGCTTGGGAGTGGGCACGCAAGTCATTGATGGATCATGTTTCAGATAAGAGAGAACACATTTACTCGTAATGTTTCAGCGTCCCTAAAACTTTTGGAGATAAAATCTATTGTTTATTTGCACTTTAAAGGGAATTGAAATTGTAGGTTGGAGCAGTTAGAGAAGGGACTGACAGCAGATCCTGTAAGCCATCAATCTCTCATTGCATATAATCACCCAAATGTGTCTGTAGCTTTGATTTTCATCTGCATTTTAGCCTTATTTCCGAGTTGTTGAATCGGCAGCTATGGAATGCTTCACAGTTAGAGATGGTTTATCAAGGGAAAATGCACGGTTTCATGAGGCAAGGAAAATCACATATCTAGATTTTGATTGAAGCCACTATAATGACAGGAGATAGTTAGATTCACATTTTCAACATTACTTTCAGAATGTATTGGGCAAAGAAGATTCTTGAATGGACCAAAGGGCCTGAAGAGGCTCTCTCGATATCAATCTATCTAAATAACAAGGTTTATTTACAACTCAGTTCATTCTGACTCCTGTGTAATGTATCTTTCATGGTTTTCCTTTTTGTTGCTTAGTTTTTGAGATGTTGATGTAGTATGAGATCGATGGCCGCGACCCAAGTGGATATGTTGGGTGTATGTGGTCTATTTGTGGCGTTCATGATCAGGTTCTTTAGTTTTCTCCTTCTCTTACTTAACTAGAAGCGATAGTAGAGTAGGCTGGAGAATATTGTGCGTGTTTGAATCTGATTTGTCGGTTTGTGCTTTGATGGGGTTTCAGGGATGGAAAGAGAGGCCGGTTTTCGGGAAGATACGGTACATGAACTACGCCGGTTGCAAACGGAAATTCAATGTGGATAGTTACATCTCTTATGTGAAGAGTTTGGTGTCAGTAACCAAGAAGAAGAGGAAAGCTGAAGAACAGCTCACCAGAGACTCTAAGTGACACTTTAAAGGTCTTGTTGTGGCTTTTACGTTGTTGTTAGACTATCTTGCATTTTTATGATTTACTGATTGTTAATGATTCAAAGTATCGATTTGAATGGTACAAAAGAGAAGATTCTGCAAAATCAAAGAAGATTTAGGTAATTTACACAATCGAATTTAGCAAGACAACAGCCAAAGATCTAGAAGTCAACTTTATGAGTTGCTTTTTCTGCTTTAGCCGACAAACAATAGAGGGTACACTTACAGTCATGACCTCATAATCTGATAATGTTTATCCTCTTTTTTTTCCATGTCTTTTACTTTGTTACAAATTAGATTGGGAAATCAGAAAACAAAGACAAGGATCTGAATTGAGGTCTGGATCCTCATATTTGGAGATCGTCTATAGATAGCTCATTTGCAGTCAGAAGCTTCAGTTTCTGTAGACACAATAAGAACATAGAAGATTACTTTAATTGGGAGGGTGATTCATAGTTTGCCAAATCTCGGAATGTGAAGGGTGTGTGTGGCTTTACCGTTATGAACTGTGGAGGATCGTCGAGGCTAGTGGACCCAAGGATTACTTCTCTTCTGAGTTTCGTGGTTAGTTTGTGGCATACTTTTAACTGAAAATCAAAGATTCCAGTAATAAGAGATCATCATGTATCCTGATTCTATAGTTTGATTTCTAAGTCCAGCAGTAAAAGCCTTTTTTTTTCTTAGCCTCTTACCTCTGATCTTGTTGCTCCACCAACAATAAACACAAATATTCGTTGTCCCATCTTCTTGAAATCGCTAGACGCATGTCTCAGCACCGAATCACTGCAAGAAGAAAAAATAATTTAAGTTTGTTTTTCGCTATCTCGAAATGCTGTGTTAAAGAAGTGGATTTTGCAAATGAACAATGAGACACATGATTTTAGCTTGATTTTAGAGCTTCACTTACTTTGCTAAGACAAAGAAGTTAAGAAGATCGAGGAACAACCCAACTTATGTTAATATTGGATAGATCCTCGGATTGTCTAAAAACAGTTTACCTTGAATATCCATCATCTGAACCTCGAGGTTTAGCCCATGTTGGTGTACGTCTTGATCTNATGGACTGAGCAGCAGCTTGACCTTGACTACTACTTGCTGATGCAGAAAGTGCCGTGGATCCATGGAAACTTGGGCTTGGGTCGTTCATACATGGGAAATCCTCTTTTGGCAATTCTCCTTTGCTAAGTTTCTCAATGAGTTCCTGCCAAATTACAAATATGAAAAACAGTCAACACATGAAACTTCTATTATGCTAAAAATCTTAAGCAGTATCATTTACATAGTGTTGAGGGCAATTAACAAAGTGAACCTCAATCATGGGGTAAAAACGAGATAACTGCCATGCTGCTTCCTCTTGGCGCTCTTTCCTGACAGCTCGTTTCTTCTGCAGCCGTTAACAAAGAATGTTAGGAAGATTCACATTTTCAATATATAGATGGAACGTTCAGAGAGAGGATGTAGTTACCTTGTGAAGATCAAACTTCAAAGTGAAACCTCCCGGGGTATTCTTTTTAGCATCGACGGCTGAACCAAGTAAACTCATATTATTTACAGCGGTCATGTCATCAGATGAGAGTTTCGCCAGCTAGAAACAAAAGCAACAAAGCCTTAGATGGGACTAGTGGATGAGAACCAAACAAAGACCCAGAAGCATTAAAACCCCAAGTACCTTCATTAGATTTTGACCCTTTTCACCTTCAAACTTTTCAGGGTAAATTGTTGCAAGGATCATCAACAGGCGTAACTTACCTTCACGGCTTGCCTCCTGGACAGGAGTTCGAAAAAACATGAATCAAAGCAACTCTATGTCTCATGATATATTACAGTAAATCAATCACTATAATTTAGATGCAAACCTCTTGAGTACTCAGATATTTAATCACATCCTTCATCCCAGCATCACCAAAAACAAGGTCTTGTTCAAGCTGTCCAAGCTCTCGAAGTCCCTGCTCTCTGATAAGGTCGTTGATTTTTCTAGCAATCTGCAACGATAAGAAAGAGTTCTATGAATTCGACGCCCAGAGAAAAAGCCAAAGAAGCGATAATTTTGGACTCTATAGACGACAGTCTTCAGACACTAAACTCTGTGAAATGTTAATCAAATGATGCATGTTAATAAAGTAATTGTTTGTGGCACCATCTAAAGTTGAAGCTTCGAAATATAAGGATACAAAGAGGCACATCACATTTGAAGTGGAGGTGGACGCAACAAGAAAAGGAAAAGAAGGGGACGTTGCACATAACTATGGGACTACCTCGACATGGAGAGAGAGCTTGTCAATTTGTTCACTGTATTGTGGCAATGCTTGAACCATCTTCTGCAAATCCCTTGTAGAAAGCTCACCTCCATCTCTAAAAATAAGAGACGAAGAACATTGATTTTTTTTAAAAAGGAGATAATTGAAGTCCTTCTCAAGTCAAATAACTTATACTACGTAATCCAACTGTAACATCTTGTTCCACCAGCTCAGGGGAAGAGTAATATATGTTCTCTAGTAACATTTACTGCAAAAAAAAAAAAAAGTAAAAGTAATACCCACCTCTTACCATGCTGAAGCTGAGCAGCTTTGTTTTTTGATAAGAAATTTGTCATCTTGTCATGCAACCTTTCGCTAGCCTGATGAAAAACACAGGTCAAGAGGATTCACTTTTCTAGTTTTCTTCCATTACCAAAGAAATAAAGACCTAGGCATCAGACTCACATCTGCTATATGTGCATGTCGAAGCTCTAGCCAAATAGGATCATGTTCCTCTAGGAGCACATCCTTCTTCTCTGGTTGTCCGCCTGACTTGCTTGGAATCTGAAAACTAAAAGAATATCACATGGCGTATCCAGGAAGAGAGCCAACAAAACATCACAAAAAATACGTCAAAGAGTTGAACTTACCACATGTACATATTTGTTCCCTTCCATGTCCAGCAAATCATGGCACATAGCATCATAAGTCCACTCGTGTATAACAGGGGCAATCTAGACATTCAAAACAAGCAAATGCTGCTAATCATATAACACATGTATGAGGGGAAAGCATGACCACAAGTAGATGGATGCAATCTAAACCTGATCTATGGATCTGTCGAGGATGAGCAGCTCGCACGTTTCAGTCTGAGGGAAATTTTCAATCGACTGTTTGTGTTTTGCCAGACAATTCCAGATTCCAGCAGCAAGCTTTGTGGGAATTAAATCACGCAAAGTTGTCATTGTCGATGCGTCAAGTGACTTTGCAGCTCGGTATCGTACTGCTGGAAATTCCTGTGAAGTCCAATGATTCAGAAGAGTCACCCGCAGAAAATAGTCATAAATCGTGAAAATAATGATTGTTACCCGCAGAGAAGCAAAGACCGTGGCGATTCGAGAAGCCATCACATTCAAGCACGCATCACCTTTTCGAGAAGTTTCCTCGTCACCGAAAAGATCCCCTAAAGCTCTCTCATGATCAGTGATGAAACCCTGTATGAGTTGTCATTAATAAATGTCTCTTGCGACCCTCTTTCACATCATGAACCACTCACTAACAACATGACAACACAGGTCACACTGCATTGCAGATGTGATGGATAACAATATAAACACAGCTAAAATGCACGAACACAAGAGACTTGAAATGATCATACCTGGCTATCAATGGCAAAAAACTCCAGATTCATCTGCAAATCAAATAATAACTTATCGATATGGATGCTATCACAGCTCTATAACACATACTGCAGTGATTAAACTGAATAGCAACAATCAGTATACACTAGAAAGTATGATATCCTTGCAATACACACCTCTCTCAATGCTGCAATCCGAGGTAATACACTCGAATCTTTCTTGATGTGACCAACCAGCTCCTTGGAAACCGGTGAACTGAAGAAAACAAATGCCCTTCATAGATGCAGAGGAAAAAGACGAAAATCAGTGTTTTAACAAGATTTTTTTTAGGATAGATCCGATAACTAAAAGGGGTTCATTTACTTACTTCTTGTACAAGGGTGATTTCCCAGACATGTCTGACAAGAACATGATGACACTGATGAAACAGAATCAAACATTAATATAAGAGGAAATAACCAATGTCACACATTTTGGAACGCAACAAAGGAACATGAAAGAAAAATTACTTCTCTTTAGTTGGCTGGATGAAGTATATTGCATCCATTGAAGGTAGAGGTTGTCTTCGTCTAAATATGTCTTCAACCACTACAGACAAATGATAGCTTATGCCAATTAAGTTATTCCCAAATAACGCATCATACCAAACTAGAATTCTTACAAAAACACTTCATTCTCACATGAAACTCCTTCTTGTGTGATATCAGCCATTTTGCAGGCGTACGACATTATCTTGACAGTAAGTTTGTCCATGATTAATACCTAAAATGCGAAAAAGGAGAAAAAAACTTAGCAGAAATATCGGTATCAACCTTAGAGCGAAAAAACATTCTCTGGCCAGCCCATGGTGACACAAACATACCTTCCAGGTGGATTTTGAGCTCCCTGTCTTCGCAGATCTAAGCATCTCATACAAGAGTCCTGATAAATAACGAAATGTATAATATACTACCAGTAGATAAAGCCTCACCAAAACATGGAAGAAAAGTGAAGAGCTTTAAGAACAAACGAGCAGTGACGGCAGCCAACGCCTCATGGAATTTAGACCCAATGATGCATGACATGAACTACACAGTCACTCTAAAATGTCACCGCAATCAAAATCCATTACCCTCTAGTCAAAGCTATTTCTCAACCATTAAACAAAAAACCATGTCTGCCTACATATACATAATACATCCTTTCATCATCACCATCACAAACATGCAACAGTTTCTTTTCTTAAGTGCCCTATAGGCATCATTTGGTAAAATGTATCAACATTTTAGCTCTAGTGACTTTCCTCGTCAAACAACCATGCAGGCCAAATCTAAGTAGCTTCACGGTTTGCTACAATCGAATCAACCGCCTACTATAAGTCACTCACAGATCCATTTCCAGCC